TTGTCACGCGCGTTACTCCTGGAGTCTGGTTGTACTGTGCCAAGGAGGTTTGACCGCGGTTCACTGGGTCACTGGTTCGATCCCCATTCGAGATAAAGGAAGGGACGAACGTAGACTCAAGATGCAATCTTAAGAATGGTTACCACCAAAAATACCCACGCTTCTGATGTTTTCTCATGCAACGAGAATGAAAAATATTTGTTGCAGTGTCACGCCTCCCAAATTGATACCATATGTCGCAACTCAAGTACGCAGCAGATAGCGCAACTAGTCTTTTAACCCTCCGAGTTGGCCTTATTCCCGCCGATTAAGCAAATATCTATTTTACTGAATGGGTCGCAAAAATCATTGTGTGCGAAAATCGAACACGAATGCTAAAGCGATCTGTGGTTGTGACAAATGTACTAGATACATGCGTGATTCGAATGCACTGGATGTAGTGTCGCACAACCTTTCCAGTTAGTTGTGCACGGCTAACGGTTTCATTACCTGTTGTTATGTCTGCGATCGATGTGCCGACACGTTGTCATGCCGGACACTGTTAACTAAGTGATAGACAAACAGTCGACACTATTATTGCATAAGGATTCTAACACAGACCGCATCACATGTCGGACCATCCCTACCACATAGATCGCTCCGAGATATGGAGACAGTAGAGTTCATGGTCAGAACCGTGTTTCAGAGCTGCAGATACTACACACCCGACTTTTGATTGAACTCCGCTCAGAAATAACCCCAGATTCAAAGTGCTTGGAAAGTAATTTCTGGTTACTGTCACATACGTTTATCGCTGAGTTTGATTGCATAGTGTGCTAGACGCCGAACCAGGATTCCATTCTCATTCTGTGTGCGCAAAACTCAGCGAATTGATAGCACGTGAACTGTGATCCGTTATCCGATACGATTGTTTCCGGCAGACCGTACTGACTGAAAACACGCTTCAGCGCAAGGATCGTGCTGTTTGCGGATGTGTTTCGCATCACAATAACTTTAAGCCACTTACTGTGTGCGTCAACAAGTAAGTTCCCTCAACTGGTCCTAAAAAATCTACATGCATCCGCGACCAGGGTGATTCGGGATTCGGCCAAGATTGCAATGTTGTCTGCACCGGTAACTTTGAAACACTGCAGCATTTAGAACAGGATCGTCCAATGTCTTCTATTTGACTCTCCAACATGAGCCAAAACACGTAACTGCGCGCAAGTGCTTTCATGCGGGCGATTCCTGGGTGGCTCTTATGTAACTGCCTCAGCACGCGTTGTCTGAGTACTTCGGGAGGCATTGACTTCAGACAAAGCGTCGCGTCACGCGAAAAACTGTACAAGGGATTCGTCAGGGCATTGCTTTGGCCAGCCTTGTCTCGTACAAGTCAATACTTCCTGTCTTTGTTCGTGGCTTGCTGAACCATTCTCGCGTTTACTAGTAAGGTATTCACGGGATCGCGTATCATATGGCTGGTATCCGTGTCGGTTGTGATTGAAGCAATAACGGCATCCTCAGGCTCACGTCGACTAGTATCGATTAATCTGGACAGGGCGTCCGCTTGCCCAATAGAGTCAGTTGACGAATACCTCATGTTGAGATGGTATCCAAAGAGCAAGGTGGCCCATCTCTGAAGTCGACTGGCCGTGTACGCCGGAATACCTATTTTGGATCCAAAGATAGCGAGTAAGGGTTAGTGATCCGTCACTAATGTGAAACGCTGACCGTAGATCATTTTGTGAAATTTCTGAACAGCAAAGACAATAGCGAGAGCTTCTTTCTCGATTTGGCTGTAGTTCTTCTCAGAGGTGGTCAGGGCTCGTGCCGCGTGCGCCACAGCCTTTTCTGAACCGTATGGAAAGCGGTGTGAAATGACTGCACCAATTCCACAGCTCGAAGCGTCTGCAGCCAGGAGGATATCCAGATTCGGATTGTAATGAGTAATCAATAGATTTGATTTCAGCAGAGATTTCAATTTCTCGAATGCCTGTTGACACTGTCCGGACCATTTCCCTTCGACATCTTTCCTCAGCAGATGATCCAAGGGTTGGCGTAGACGATGCATAGCTGGCAGAAACTCGCTATACTGACTCACCATTCCGAGGAATGATCTCAGAGTTGTGACATCCGTTGGTGTAGGCAGTCGATCTATTACCTCAATGTTCTCGGGGTCGGGATGTCGGTCTCGTTCATTAATCACGAATCCCAGGAACTTAATGGATTTCAAGAAGAATTTGCATTTGTCTGCGCCGAAACCGAATCCATAACCTTTGATTCGCATCGTCACGTCATCTAGTCGTTGAAATAATTCGTCATGTGTGGTGCCTATTATGATTATATCATCCAGATAGGCTGCAGCCCCACTTACCCGTCAATGTGGCATCCATGACTGCAAAATTGCGGGTGCGGTTTTAACTCCAAATGGCAGACGATTGTATTGGTACAGACCACGATGGGTGTTGATCCTGAGAAACTTTCTGCTTTCAGGTTCAACTTCGTATACGAGATGTCGAACCAAATAGTTGGAGCGCTAGACTATGCCCGGGATGGCGAATGCTTCTTATGGTCAGTGTCGTACGGCAGTGTTGTGATTTTAGACACTACATCGTCGGGTGTAGCAACTGCTTGCCCAGTCTTTGATTTAACTGACCAGAAATTGTCCCAACTTCAAGGTGCGTGGAAGGTAGTCTCTAGTTACTGCCACACACGTTTATCCCGGAGTTTGATTACATGGTGCGCTAGACGCTGAACGAGGATTCACTGGGTCACCGGTTCGATTCTCATCCACACATGTAGCACTCAGTCAGCGGGGGGCAAAAATAGCCCTAGGATGCAATGTTTGGAGTTGTCAACAGCACAAACGCGACCGCTTCTGATGCGATTCCATTGAACCAAATGACCCACATGTACTGCAGAGTGACTCGTCGCCCGCACTGAGATCGCGCGCCTCAATTCAGACACAAGGTATAACGCAGTCCTTCGTTTAACACTTCGAAACTGATCGAATTAATCTGTTTACTATTGGCAGGGAGACGAGGTTGGATGCATATCCGCCTCTTTCACTGAATCAGTCTCAAAGCCATACACACCTGAATACAGCTGAAATCAAGTGTGTGGAAACATCGGCTACCATAAAGCAATGAGGCTGAGTAAGTAGTGTTGCCAAGATTGCTTTATTTTGTATATCACTCTGGGTTTCTCCGAGTGATCCTCATCCGACTTGAAAGAAGGGTATGGCACTAGTTTTTGTGTCTGAAGACAAGTCTTGCGTTATGCCGTGAACTTGGTGCAACAACCGGATGTGTATTATAACAACTCCGGAGGTTCTGCATATCGTCTGTTGGCACACAATTCTGCGCCGCTTTGCTTTGATGATGTTACTTAGCTTGTGGATGAATGTATCAATAATAAATCGTCACCTGTACGCCGTAACGGCGCTTCGCTGCCGCGCGTGGTCTGAGTATACCGCGAGGACGCCCCGGATTCGAACCGGTGACCTTATATTTGCAAAGCAGGCATGCAAACCACTCGGCCACCGGCTGACACACAATGCGGAGAAATGATATGTACCGAGTCTTGGTCTATCTGTGGCGTTATATATCTCTTTCGTTGTTTTCGTATGCGTCTCCACTGCATAATTTCGGTCCATCTATCGTCCGCCATATGGATCTGGTGACCATCGTGATGCTAGATGCATCACTAGTGACAGCGATGAACTTAGGAAGCGAAGAGAACCCTCCCTACGCAGTCGCATAAACGATGTTTGACTCCCAATTTGTTCCTTGATGTTAAAAATGGCCTTGGCTAGTTTCCACACTAGGAAGACATCATTCGGTCCATCGACCATGCCTTTTTGTGGTAGACAGTACACCGCTGATCGATAAACGGATATTTTTGGCAATACGCCGTTTACCACAATTCAATTTCGAGTAGTGTTATTGTCTCCGCTCCGTGTTCCAGCAGAAATCGCATTAATCACCTCAATCTGACGTTAACTGTCTCAAATACGACATTTGGACGCCGCTGCTTAAGTTGGCTTATTCCTAAGACTTTGAACTGTAGATAAATCAGATCCAGAAATGACCTTTTTTGGTTTTTGCGTCAGGGTAGGAGTTAAACCGGTCGGAAAAATAAGTGATTTGAACTGGTCGTCCATAAATTGTCTAAGCTTGGGAGTTTCACGCGAATGTTTCAATCTGCCTATGCTAGAAACACACTACTCAGGCCCTGATCTTCGATACATTTCGAGCATCGTTCGCAAAGACTGAAATTTAGTGACCTCTCAAAGTTGGGTTTGTAAGCATCAACGATCTGCAATTGGTATGTTCTCTTTGCGCCTAGTTTACATAACGACACCCATGTTATGTGGCAATAATCATCCACAGTGAGGTGGGTTGGACAGATGTGTCCGCACATAGCCGGTATGTGGATCAACATTAATGGGCCATCTACCTTGCAACTTTGAATCTTAGCATTCATCCTCAAATTAGTGCTCGTTTCGGTTTTATTTTGATGATTGGTTTTAACTTTCGAAGCGGTTTTTATCCTTTGGCTTGTATGTACACCTACATACACGCCATTTGATGGGCACACATCTTACTACAGGCCTCAGCCCGTATGCTTGGCTCGCCACAATGAGCATGGATGCGCATTTTCTGATGCGAATAATGATAAAGTGATTGTTCCACTACTATTTGGTTTGCTGCACTTGTCAGGGTTCATCTTGTCAGAATCGTAGGGTTTCTAGTAATCAATCTATTTGTGTCACCTGAAGATTGGTGTTAGTCACTGCGTCACCTATGTTCATCCCACATATACGATCACATGAAACGTGTGAACACTACCTGGTACTTCGCTTTTCATCTGATTTGAAATTTTTCTGTTACATCGCAGCATTTTCAAGCAATTGAGTTAACCCTTTTGGGTGTTTCCGCTTATATAACTCGAATAGTGCGTGTAGTCTATCGCTGTTACACAGTCCGCCGCAATCATTGTTATCTTTTCCTACACTTCAGGCGATCCTACGCTCTCCACACAAAGTCCAAGCCGCTTCCATAGAAGAAGGAAGCAAAACAACAGCTTCCGAAATGCGGTTGATCGCTCGCTTACTCTTAACACTCCGGACAAGCTTTTTTCGAATTATCTTGGTTCCAACAACACATGCGTCGATGAACCCTGCGCATCACAGTGTCAGTCTAGAATTAGTCAGCTTTCCCTTACCGTCTCACTCGATGCTGCCCCGCAGCATCCAGATCCGTCTATACACTTAGTTTCTGTGGCACGCCGTACCCAAAACACACGCAACTCTCATCCCTCATCTCCCTCTATGTCACAAAGCCCTATCAGTTCAGACACCCCTCCAATTCCGGCTCGTCAGAAACAACAGACCACTTACTCACAAAAAACGGGAAAGTTACGTCTCGGCAGTTTCAAAGATTTGTTTAAGTAAGATTTTGAGACGCATTGCGTTGTTTCCTGCTGCTCTCACTTGTTGCCTCATCTACTCAGTAAGTGCGTGCTCCATGTTCTTAACGCACATCCATGCTGCGCTCCTCTCATTTCATTGCTCTTCTGCTCTGGTATGGGATACATCTGTTGCACAAGTCACTCAATCAAGTGCTAAAATCCCGAAAAAAATCATTGAAGCTCAAAACCTCTTATTTGCGTCATCGAATATGCATCTGCTTTTCCTCTGGTATCACTAACCTGTGAGTCCAGTATGTTCCCCGAACGATAAAACGAATTTGTAGTGCCTTCATTGATTTTCTTTCGGACAGTTGAATTAGCAGTTTGATCAGATGTTTACAAACAGATCGTCAACACCAGTGAACAAACCGACGCCGGAAATTCCACAAGTGAATCCAACACCAGAGCGGTGCCAACGCTTCGCTGCCGCTCAACCGCCACCAGTCGCGTATGGGCTAAGGTTACTGCGATGGTCGACCATCGAATCCGCGACCTTTGGATTATAAGGCAGGTTTATGTTCCTTAGAGCTACGCGCCGGGGTCTAACATCAAGATGGGCTGTCGCCAAGGCATTCGTCCAAAATGCCATTACCATAGTTGCTCATTTTCATTCCCATTATCTGTTGTTTTATAATCTCTAACAATCGTATGTACCAGCTTGCCTTCTGTAGTCTGACCACTATTCGCAAGCGAGCGACTCATTCTAGTGATGTTCACTTGTGTTATCTTTATCGTAGTGAGTGTATTCGCATGATCTGCGCAATTCATTTATCCTAATTCAACCTGCTCATACTTGAATTGTCTACAGGCGCTCCCATAACAGAACAACTGCACCATCGACTAAGGATTGCGGCGAATCTTCTATTTTTACGACCGATACACCGAACCTATCAGTACGACGTTTTTCGGTCCCTGCGACTGTCGATGCTATGACACTCCCTCCCAACTCAAAAACAGCTATCAATGAATCAAATTTCCGAGCACTAGATCCTCCTTCCACTGTGATGCCCCATTTCGCTGGTCATAGAAGCGATGAAGTTTCCCATCCCAGGAGTAGCGAGCCGCCTATGGTATCCCAACTGATGCAATCGATATCGCCACCCAACAAAACCACAACCAATCCCACGCGGAAAATTCGACATTCCTCTGTCATGAAAAATGAACAGTCTGTTCAACTTCAGATTGAAACGCAGTCGCCCCCACCAGTGCCACCAAGGGCTCATCATTCAAACAATTATCAAAAATCTCTTCCGAAACAGAACAAGGTATCTTCTAGCGGCGATATTGCAGCCCATAATCATCACCGTGGCTCATGCGAATCACGACCTCCTGGCACAAACGAGTACAACTCATCCCATCGGTCCTGTGGTTCTTTGAAAGCCTATTCACACGAGAAATACTATTCATACCGAGACCATTCACCCGTGTACATGCCGAAGCAGCCATCGTATGTTGTGATCACCACCACCCGAAACCATTCCCGATCAAATGGCTTAGGTTTCTCTCAACCATCGAAGGAGGGAAAACTTGTCTCCCGCAACTCACATTCCCATCGTGCTCTCAGCAAACCCATTCCAGTACATTCTGAAATGGAAAAGTTGAATTCTAACGTTTCAACTATTGGTCCAACCAATACCCTTACTCGGTCATCCAGGCCAAAAAGTGCAGTTGACCAAGGTAACATGAAGGTAAATTCAATCAGCATTATTTCATGGTTTTATGCATTCGTTGCATGGCTTTCCACCTTCTTATTCGCCGTTCTTCATTACAGACACTCACCGGATCTAATACCAGTGCCTATCTAAAAGGAAGCAAACCGACATCGCCTTCTATTGTCCAGTCTGGGTCGTCTAATTGCAGTCCTGCCTGCTCTGTTGTTCATACGAAGAGCCCTCTGACGCATTCCAACTACAACAAAACACTGTGAGTGTCTGGTGTCCGTTAAAGACTAAACTCGCAGTTGTATGAGAATCGTTTGACTTCACCCCACTAACAGCTGGACTCAGTCAGACGGCCACTACACATTCGGAAAAGCAGTAGACAACCGTTTCTCATCTTAACGATTAGTAAACTGTTCATTCCATGTGCAGCTAGAAACTGAGACCATACTCTGTCGAGTTAGTGGTTTAGACAACCGGAAACGTGTTTAACTCTCCAGACATCTTGCGTTGAACCAGCAGCATTCGGACCCGAGACTTACTATCGCGAAAAGATTAGTCCATAAGTATTAAATTCCTGGACCTTGCGGCTTCACACGGGAAACCAACACGCGCGAACAACACTAGACGCTGCTCAGTGTCTACCTTTGTCTGTGGTGTGTTCTCATCCCGGAGTACTTGGAAAAAACAACGCAAACACCCGATGATAGGCGTGCAAATAGCATAACCTGGCAAGCACAAACAGTAATTCATCATCACCATTATACACTTTAACTAGCTACTGTGCCGCAATACATAAAAGAAAAAGGGGGAAAATGTAACAGATGCAAGCCAGCTGAGTTACCGGTAATGGATGGACATCGTTCTGGTTAGCTACCAACTGGCAATTGTGCAGCAGAAAAAATTTACTGTGCAAAATTATATAAGGCTTAGCAGTGAGATCGTGGTTAGAGGGTGTGTTCACCGTCTATCGGACCGTAACCAGAGAGGTGAGACGCTCTAATCGAGGCCAGCTCCGAAGTGAGGACCTTCATTCCTCTCGACCAAGTCATCGCTTGGCCACCCCTCCTCTTCTTCCATCCACACCCCGGCGCGCAAACAACGCACGTCGCGGGAGTCAGTGGGCTGGCATGCGTAACACGTGGCCGAGCCATCGGAGCCTGGTGCGTGAAATAACGGTGCTGAGCGGTTCAGTTCCTTTTCTGTGCCGTAAACAAGGCGTCGAACACGCTCGTTGCTCACGCGGTGTTCCCACCAGATGTGAGCTAAATTGCGAAGGCACCGGTGGTCGAACGTAACTAGCCTCTTTATGTCCGCTGATCTAAGGGGCCAGGTTTCACAACCGTACAGTAGGGTCGAACGTACCGCTGCATTGTACACTCTACCCTTCAGGGCGAGAGTGATGTCGCGCCGGCGCCATAAGTGGCGAAGGTTAGCAAAAGCGCCCGAGCTTTTGCTATACGGTTCGTGATCTCATCTTCAATCCCACGGGCGCTGATACAACTTCCCAGGTAGTTGAATTTCTGAACGACTTCTAGCTGATCCCCACCAAGGGTCAGCGTAGGAGGCGGTCCAGGCCAATCTTGGAGGAACGCTTTGCACTTCGAGGGTGCGAAGCAAAGCCCGAAGTGACGGACAGCCAGTGCTAATCTGTCCAGTGCCGCTTGGCACGTCTGGGAGCTGTCACAGATGAGGGCAATATCGTCAGCATACTCCAAGTCAAGAAGTCGTTCTCCTGGGAGCAGATCCACACCTTCTAAGTCGTGTCCTGTGAACGCGATTTCCATGACTTCGTCAATAGCGAAGTTGAAGAGGAAAGGTGACAGCGGGCATCCTTGTCTCACACCGCTGGAGATATTGAAGGGCGACGACAGCTTGCCGTAAGCCCTCACTCTGCCCGAGCTACGCGCGTATAATGCTCGGATAATATTTACATATTTCTCAGGTACACCTTTCCTGAGTAGACAGTCCCAAAGTGCACGTCTATCCACCGAATCGAATGCACCTTTGATATCGAGGAACACGACAACGGTGGGCCGCCAATATGTGTGACGGTGCTCCAACAACTGACGCAAAGTGAAGATGTGGTCAATGCAGCCACGACCTCGATGAAACCCGGCTTGCTCTTCACGAATCTGGCTTTCACGAGTGCCAGTCAGTCTGTGAAGGATGACAGAGGCAAGCAATTTGGAGGCGATGGAGATCAGACTGATTCCTCTATGGTTGCCGCATTCCGATCGCGAGCCTCCCTTGAAAATTGGGACTATGACGGAGCGGCTCCAGTCGGTTGGGACAGTTTCCTGCTCCCACAGTTTCACTAGTAACTCGTGTAAGTCATCCACAAGAGCAGGTCCCCGAATTTGAAGAGGACTGGAGGAAGATCATCTGGTCTCGCGGCTTTATTTAACTTCAACAGTCCGATCTCACGTTCGACTTCTGAGCGAGAGGGCGGATCCAAAGGGACAGCCCACGGAGCAGGGCGATCAGTGGTCGGCGAGAAATCTAACAATTCCGACCGATTAAATTGCCTTTCAAAGTGCTCAGCCCAACGCTCCAAGCGTTTTGACAAGTTGTGGATAGGCTGTCCATTCTCGTCACGTATAGTTTCATTCACCCTAGGTCTCCTGCTGCCCGTTTACCGTATCAGACGGAATAACTTACGATGATTACCAAGGGCAGCGGCCATTTCCATCTCTGATGCACGATGAGACCACCAGGATTCGCGGTCTCTCCTCAAGCTAGCCCGGAGTTTTTTTTTGCGAGTCTTATTGTGTTCGCTTCCAGCCGGAATGTGCCGGCGAGCATTGATAAATTCCAGACTGCGAAGAGACTCAATGTCCATGTTGGCTATTAGACTTACCACATGAGGATTTACCTGCTACTAGTAAGGTCTGGTGAACATGTGACCTTCAATTGTCTCCATTGAGCGCTTCCTCAATTTGCATGTCATGGTATTTCGATACGCGTAGAGAACAGCTGGCTTCGCCAGTTGACTGGTGTCAATGAGCTGAGCGTACATTGAGGCATGCCAATCTGAAGGAGGATCGAGGGCTCCAAATGGAAGCCGATGAACTGGAGCTTGACCGCTTGTTTGGACATGGGCTTGTCGATAGGGCGAGAATGACGCTCCGCGTTCACATGTGAGTTGAAACTAGAAGGTAAAAGTTTATCAAAGCACGGTGGGGGATTGTTGGGAACTGGAGGATAAAAGTGAAGCTGGAACGGGACGATAAGGGTGAAAAAGCGTAAGGGTGAATAAGATGAGAACGTTTGAACAGTAGCATCCAAACTTCTATCCATCCTGCTTGATGCAGCAGTGTCCACTGCGATGGCCAGAGCGCCAGGAAATTGTTTGACGAAAGATTCATAGTATTGCGTGGACAGGATACTGTCAGGTTGACCAGGCCTAGACAGGAGAACGATTAGGGTTCTCAACCAAAGCTTTCGGTTCAAAAATCTGCGCAAGGCAGCGGGTTCGGCGGTGGGCTACAAGCAGTCCGTTTTAAGGAGTAAGGAGCCACCCTCATTCCAACCCCCAACTTGGAGGACCAGGAGGCTGAGTTTGTCTGGCCTCTAACCATTGACTAATCTGGTATGAGTGACGCTGAAGGTGCAAAAGCACCACCCAGCATAGTTCAGTGGATCTCTGAAGCACGCAAATCATCGCAACACGGTAAGGTCCAGCCTCATCAGTTACTCATTCGAATCGTTGGTAAACTTTTAGTCTATATCCGAACTATTCATTTTGCAATGCTGCTGTCGCAGAACTTGCTTTACTGATCACCGGAGTGAATCGACCGTTATTGTCCTAATCGGAAAATATACACCTGATTAGTTCAAACAACCCTGTGGCCCATTCCAGCGAACAAACGTATTCGTTGTTTCCCATTCGGCCCTCATGTCTTCTCTGGATGGCTGCATCCGGCAAAACCTACATGCTACATCAATGGCGCTTACGCTGTTGACCTCTAGTTTTTGAATTTTGAGTTTTCGATCAACAATCAGCCTTCTTCCTTATCACTCGTTGAGTTTACTGCCCGGCGTTCCTACCTTATTGTTTTTATACCTTCGTGATTATCAACTTTAACCATGGTTAACGGGAGTCATGACAACTGGGTCCACCCGGCTCTGTTGCTCGGACCATAACTAATTACCTGAACTGCGTAACCCGGTGAGTTCAGACAAATTTGAATCAGGCGTGAATATCTTCGCATTCATGCGGAGCAACCGATTTTCAATGAACTGTAATTACACTCCAGACAAATCTGTTAATATACAAACGCGATATGGACGGGGCTCAAAAGAGTCTTATTGCCGGTGTTCCCAAGATATTACGCCATTTTTCACCGTGACTCCAGTGTCGCGTAAGGGTTTTCGGGAAACTCCCCCCACCCTCCCGAATGCACCAAGAGAATTACTGTACCAGGGCTGACCTATTTCTCCATTTTCCTTCAACTTTGCCGTCGATGTTCTGCTACACAGCGGGCTGTAAAATCAAGACTATGCGAACGACAGACATTTTGGATCGGAACGAAGTGCTATGCAATCGCTACTGAACAGGCCGAGCAATCGCGCTGCATATTTCAGCATGTTCTTAGCGCATTTAAGCACGGTTAAAAGATTGGACCGTTTTAGCACTGGCTTTCACTATCACCAAACAACCGATGGATTTTATCGATCGGTTTACTTTTCTGGGTAACTCCACTCTGTTCTTCACATCACCGAAAGAGGTTACTAAGGCTCATGCGGGTTCCAGAAACCTCGGTCACTTGTGCAGATCGCCGGATGTAAACGCAATGATCAGAGAAGAGTTCACAGCACTATTTCCTTGCTTGTGTGGCTGCCGATGAGTTAGGAGACGAGTGTGTTTGACCGCTTGTAGCCCGAGAGGCACTACCGTAAAACTGGGTAACTTTTGCTCCACTATTTTTGGTTTGCAAATACCACACATTTCCCAGATCTTTGATTATCTTATTATGTGATCGATTCATTGGCTATAGTTTTAAAGCTGTAGAGAATATTGACTGATCAAAGTTTCTATACCTTTAAGATCAGATTATTTTAAAATATATGACTATGGCTAAAGTTCCCCCTGACACGGGTATATAATTGGTCATGATGACAACATCATACACAGAACCCGTGGTCACATAACACAAGGATCAGATATCCGCACAATTTATACTGTATCTAGAACTCAGAATACCGAAGCAAATTTTCACAAAAATGTTTTTTCGAGTATTTGACAATTTTGATGAATGAGGAACAC